CGGTGTACGGGTGTGTGTGGTGTGTTGGTGCTGGGTTGGGGGTGGGGGGGGGGGGGGGGGGGGCGGAGGTGCCGCGAAAACTCGAACTTAAAACTTACACTCACTATTTTCTTCGAAAATATATGTGAGTTCCACAATAATGTTGTTATTCTAACCTTGATTAAATGCATAGTATTCTCTTCAAAGCTATTCAAACAAAAGTTAACATTAGAATGTGAGATATAAAAATGTTTCACCGAAATCATACTTAATAATAAATAATCTATTGAGCAAATTATTATGAATAAGAACAATCTGAAACTTCGGAAAACTTTCGGATGCCCTTCTTTACGAAGTTTGCTTTCTGTAGTAATATTTAATAGGGTGGGGTGTTGGTGTGTGGGTGTGGCTGTGACTGTGGGTGTGATTGTGATTGTGATTGCACAAAAGCATGAAACCCAAACCACACCCACACCCTATGCGGTACATTTGCAATATTTGTTTTTCAGGGAGGCATTGAATATTAGTGAAGTTTTGGGAGAATATTAGTTAATGCAGGTGTGACTCTGGATTTTCACATTGATGATCCGCACAAATCCACACATATACTTATGCCCTCAATCTAAATGTTAAATCCTCATTTTAAAACGCACAAGATGTTCAGATCAATGTGAACTTGTAGGAAAAATCATCAATTTCAATGGATACTTTGATTTATTAGAAACTGATTTAATTTAATTTAAAGAAAACAGTCAAAACAAGAATATGGAGTCATTCTAATTTCACACAATTAATTTTGAAATGAATTTAAAGCAAAAGGAAGCGTCACCCATAAAAGATGCATATGCACAAAAATAAAAATCTAGGTTAATAGTATTGAAGAAAACATTAAATCAGTCTATCAAAATCAAGTCGATTCGGCAGCTTAAACACAAATGTTAACCACTATATGATCCACCTAGAAATAACAAAGTTTCCAAATATCACATAAAAGAAAGATATGAACTATAAATTATGTCTCACCTGTGCATGTAGAATTGCTCACAAGTGTTATTTTCCATATACCTATACCATTGGTGTTCGCTACATAGAGATTACCTATTGAATCTGCAGCCATACTAAGAGATCCACTCGCGAATGCACTATTGAATGAACCATCGAAGACAGTTATACCAAATGCAGCGCCAATAGTCCATTGCTGTATTCGTTGATTAGAAGAATCTAAGACAAATATATTTCCATTTGTATCTACGACAACTGAAGTAGGATAGTTTAGTTGTGTGGAAAACGGTCCTTGTCCTTGACCTCCTGCTACTACTATGCCATTTGTTGCACCATTGATCCATTTCATTACGCGATGATTTGCATAATCTGCTATGTATAAATTGTTCAAACTATCGAGCCAAATTCCTTTCGGTGAATTAAGCTGCGTAAGGTTTGATCCAGGTACACTCGTCGTTCCTGCTACGAGTAAGCTAACGTTTGCATTAGGAGTCCATTTAGCTACGTGATGGAATGCAGCATCGGATACATAAATGTTACCTGCTGTATCAACATAAAGACCAGAGCAATCATATGTGAGGCTAAGAGTTGAACCCGTCCCGATATAGCCAGCTACCGTTGATCCATTTATGGCTCCATTGATCCATTTTTGAATTCTGTTATTTCGACTTCCATACCAATAATAATAGCCCGTATCAGAAATAAACATAGACAGATTGTAATCCACGAAAATGGCTTGTACTGCTCCTAACTGGTTAGAGCCATAGCCAGGAGTTGTGTTCGAGGCAGGTGCCATCAATATGCCAAACAGAGGATTATATGGTGAAAATTTTTTTATGAGATTATTATTCGAATCTGTCGCATAAACATCGTTGTTGTATGCAACAAATACCGAACTAGGGGTACTAACATTGGCAGCAAGAGAAACAGTTGGATTAAAGACTGCTGCAGCGCATGAATTATTTGATGTAACAGCTGTAGAAAAAAAACCGTTATATATTTCAATAATTTACTTAAGACTACTTCACTATTTATATCTATATACTAAGGTGGGGACGAATCCAACAGAACTATTTTCATAGATTGGTGAAAGTTATGCAGTTGTTATCTTTTAATATTAGAGTAGAAACACTGATTTAAAGAAAAGAATAATCTCTTATTATTACAAAATGTATCACAATTTTTGTAAATACAATCGAAAACTTTTGAGTGAACAACACAATAGAATTGTCATTCTTTTCTGTGATAAATAAAAATATCTCATGTAAAATTCAAGCATATCTATTAACCAATAAGATCGATTATTAAACAATATAGATCATGCTAATTTATCGGTCGAAGAGCCGAAAGTTAGAAGAACTGGAAATAGTCAATAATCATTTAAACATTGATAAAAGAAAAGAAGCAAATTTACGTTAACTCTGTCAAAAAAGTATTTTCTTAGTATAGTTACAATTTAATCATGTTATGTTTTTAAATCAACAGAAATTAGATTTTTCATGTAACCGTTCTTTCAGTCTCTTAATGATTGTTCTTAAAATTTGACACGCAATATACTTTAGATAGAACCATCCTAAAACTTTTTCAAAGATTGTTATCACGATAAGATTAACTAAATATTATCACAAAAAGTGCACCACGAATCATGGTAGCTTATTTTAAAAATTAATGCATGAGACCATTTTGAATGTTCTATTCAAGTAAAAAATATTAACAGTTGTATGAATTAAAATACCATAAAATATCTGTTCTTCTTTTATTTCAGACTTAGGTGATTAGTAGGATTCTTTCATCCTTATCACGTTTATGAACACTTAAAAAAAACTAAAAAATATAGCACGACTTTCAGTTTTCTTTATAGTAATTTACCTATCGATACGAGAATAATTAAACTATTTTGAACTTTTTAAAGATGAATTCATGAAATTCTTCAACACTGATATGTAGTCTAGGACCAAAGGCAGTGTTTAAATATACCTATAATTTCTACAATTTACGTAACAAAGAGACGTGTCAGTCGATCTATGTAGTCATGAGTTACTAAGTAGCAGAGGTTCAACCAGGCCATGTTTTTCAAGCGAATACGATAGGGATAAAATACTGGAAATGAGATGTGCTTCTAGGACGCTAACGCTACTATTCAGCCCAAGCCTGGCAAGCCTGCTATACGAAAAAAAAATTGATTTTCAGACGGATGAAAATCAGAGGCTGGCGCAATTATCGGCCTGTCACTTTCACTATTCTGAAAACTACAAGTGTTACTTATAGCAGGCAGGTTAAGCTTGGATTGAGTAGTAGCCTTAGTGCCCTTTTTGCGCATATCGTTTCCAATATTTTATCATTATCGTACTCATTAGCTATTCAAATCGTCAAACACACTTTTGGCGATGAGATTCTCATATACTCTATAATCTTCGTTGTTTCTCCTATTTTTATGATTTTCTACAGAGCAATCACCCTCATCTTTCCGATCCCTTAGCGTGATAGACGATTTCATACTCAATTACATATAATATTCTCACTCTAAATATATTTCACCTGTATTATTTGATGATGCAGTCAAGTTCACGCCTAAAAGCAAAATCCAGCGAATTCATTAAAATATTTCATAAAAATACACAGCAGCTAACCTGTACATGAACTACTTGTTATAAGAATGATCTTTTGAATTCGCATGCCATTATAATCAGCAACATATAGATTTCCAAATGAATCCATTACCATACTCTGAGCATTCAAACCGAAGCCACTGTTATAAGATCCATCAAAAATTGTAATACCAACATTATTTTCAGGTGTAAATTGTTGAATACGTTGATTACCTGCATCGAGAATAAACATGTTATCATAAACATCCATGATAATTGCAGTTGGACTGTTCAATTGAGTCGAGAATGGTCCTCGACCAAATCCACCAGCTACAAGAATACCACTTGTTGCATTCATTGACCATTTCACTACACGATGATTATCAGAGTCGACAACAAATAAATCTCCACTATCA